CCCCAAAGAGGTCATCCACCTACCCCCAAAGAAAGACGTCATCCCACCTACCCCCCAATAAAGACGTCATCCCACCTACCCCCAAAAATGTCATCCCACATACCCCCAAAGAAAGATGTCATCCACCTACCACCAAAGAGGTCATCCCACCTACCCCCAAAGAGGTCATCCCACCTACCCCCAAAGAAAGACGTCATCCCACTTACCCCCAAAGAAAGACGTCATCCCACTTACCCCCAAAGAAAGACATCATCCCACCCCTGTCTTGTGTGGCTTTTTCACTGCTCCATCTTTAAAATGAAGACTCATGCTATTCCCCTGACCCCTATCTCCCTGGAAAACCCCTATACACACTTCAAAACCCAGCTGGGGCGTTACTTCCTTGAAGAGCACACTACCCTGACCTATCTTCTCTCCCCGCTGCGTCTCTGATAACAGTGCAATCCTTGTCTCAAATCCGACAGAACCCTTGAGGGGCAGAGCTCTTGTCTTTCCCCTCCTGACCCTGTCTTTGGCTGTGAACCTCCCTGGCAAGTGTGTTGTGAACTGACGCTGCGAGTGTCTAGTTCTCAGTAGAAAGCTAGAAAGAGCTCTGTAAAGGACAGTTGGTGGCAAACGTCACCATGTCTTAGGATGTCGGGAAGTTGGTTAAATGCAGATTCCTGGGTCCACCTAGACAGTCTGATGCTCTAGGTCCAGGGTGGGGCCCAGGAATCTGTGTTTTCAACAAGCAGCCCAGGGGTTTCTGGTGGGAGTAGTTGGCGACCCTCACTATGATGGCGGGGGCGGTGCCCAAGATTGGAGCTAGGCCCTCACCTGGAACCTGGCTCCTTCACTTCCATCTGATCAGGAGGTCTCCAGTAAGTGCGCAAAAGTCTCCGTAGAAGGAGGCCTGGCCACTAGCCTGAAGAGCTGCTGCCCATAGGGCAGCAACGGACTGGTCCCGAAGACCCTTGGGTTGGCTCCGGACAAGCCTTCCTGGGATGACACAGATAAACTGGAGCAGTCCGGGTGGCTTCCTGGAGGAGGCAGGTCTAGGGAAAGGAATAGGCTAAGAGGAGAAAACCTGTGTGGCAATGGCTGGGAGGTGAGGCCCAGCCAGGGACCCTTGGGAGCCCACCACCATGGGCTGGACGTGAGTCCCTGTGGGGGCCCAGGAGTGTCTGGGGTGGTGAGCTGTTGCTTAATAAGGTAACTTGCTGGTTTTCTGAAATCGGGGCAGTTTTGTCTCGCAAGGGTGCTGATGGATTGTGAGAGAGAATTAGACCTGGGAGGCCAGTGTGGGACCAGGATAAGGGACTGGCACAGCGCAGAGGCCAGGACGCAGCCCCCTCGCCCTGGGGAGGGGGTCGGGGACCGGACACCATGGTGTGAGGGGCAGGGGCTCGGAGATCAGCACGATGCAAGGGCAGCGTGTCATGGCCAGCTGCCTGGTCCTGGCCCTGTCGTTCGACCCCACCACGCCTCAGTTTCCCTGGAATGGGGTGGTGATATTGCTCTAGGGAATGACTGCTTCCTAAAAGCTATTGGGTTTTTTTTTTTTGGTTTGTTTTGTTTGTTTGTTTGTTTTTACATAGCCACTGTTTGCTCACCTGTATGGGAATCAGATAGTGGCCAGAGGCAAGGGACAAATGCCGAGGTGGGGAGGAAGAAGCTCAGGTGGTCCGCAGCAGTGGCTCGTTTGGAAATCTGGGGAGCTGGTGCTTGTGGAAGGGTTCTCTGGCCATTCTGTCCTTGAGAGGCTAAGGAGGGCCATCGAAGAAAATTCAGTTGTTGTTTACAGATTCTCTAGAAAGCCGAGAGGGCTCAGCAGTCTGCAAGCCACCAGCTGTCCTCACACGGGCACTTGCTCTGGAGGGAGGCCGGGGGCACACGCCTCCTTCGCAGGATCCTCCCCACCCCTGCAGGGCCATCGTGAAGATGAAACAGATTAAATATACGACATGCTCGCGGCAGGGCCAGGCACAGTGTGGGTGCTACGCAGGCCCTGGTTCTTGTTCCCATTCTGGCAAGGAAGAGATGGGACCAGTGTCAAGTTCAAT